AAAATGGTATTTCATTACATTCAACGCTGGGTTTTCTGGGGGAAGCCCTATGGCTTCCCAGAACTACTTCTCCAAAGACGAAAACTAAAGAAGGGGACTTACCCGGGAGGCGGTCGGTGCTCCACCTCTTAACTGGAAGTCGAGACAGGGTACAGCCGCCGACCCAAAGCAACACAGGCCCGATTAGGCCCAGGAACATTTATGAGGTAGCGTGCAGCCAGGACCCTGTTCGACCTCCAAAAACCCAGTGCCAGAATGTCAATCCAGGACATGCTACCAAAGACGGCAGCAAGAGCAGTGAACTTACGAACGTCATGGGCACAGGGATAGACCGCAGGCTGGCTACACTTAATAACCCTGCTGACAACCTGAGAGACCCGTACCCGCGAACAGGGAAGAAGGGAAACCAGATCAACCCAAAGCGTGTCCCCGGACACAGAAGCCATGACGCGCAAATAACGGCGGAGGGCGGCAACCGGACACAACATATGATGCACCCCCGGCCTGATCAACCAAACATCAACAACCACTCTGGAAAACAGCAGTCTCATTCTTCGCCAAAAAAGAAGGAGACGGATGCAAAAGAACAAGCGTATCACCACGACCAAAAGAGCAGAAACCCCTGTGCTGGAGAAGAGCATGAAGCTCCGCAACCCGACCCCCAGAGGCCAATGCCAACAAGAAAAGAGCCTTAGAGAAACAATCCTGAACTGAAGGAGCCCAACAAACCGAGATGGAGCAAGCCGGAGGTGAAACAACGCATGAGACAGCTTGCGAAACGGTGCAGAAGTAACATTTATACCGAAAGCAAGCTGAAGCGGCTCCACCAGCACCTCACAATACGAGGTGACAGTATTCGGCATAAGATGACGGTCCTGGAACAACCATGAGAGAAGGACAACACTGCCCAAACCGAAAGCGAAGTGCAACGGCGAAGAGTAAAAAAGAAATGGAAGGACTGCCAGGAAACTTCATACTGCTGCCGAGACGAAGCTTGCAGACCACAGCTGGGTCGGCCACCAAGAAGACTACTCGCCCCTGGTAAGTCTCCAAGCGAGCCAGGATCTGGAGCAACAGCTGAACCGGGAGAAAGACACAGGAACCCCCATATCGACCAGTCCTGCCGGAAGGCATCGATACCGACAGCCTTGCGTCGGGGAAGGGCGCCACATATTCCGGAAGACGCCTCGACCATGCTGATGCGAAGAGTTCCACCTGTGGGTGCCCGAACATCTGGCAGAGCCAAGTGAGTGAGTCAGCATCGACCGTCCATTCCATGGACAGGGGAACAAACCGGGACAGGCCATCCACCAGGACACTGAACACCCACCGGATGTGAATTGCCAAAAGAGCCAAACCCCGAGAACTCGGCAGATGAGTCACCCGAAGTGACCAACCCCAAAGAGTCAAGGACCGCACCGAACCCCCTCGGTTCAGGCAATGAACCATCGGGGAGCAGTCCAAATGGAGCCAGTTCGTCGATCCGCGGGCGACCCGAACTCTCCAAAGCACAAACCACACCACCACGAACTCCTGCACTGTGCTGTGGGCCCGACGAAAGGACAGACCCCACTGCCCCTGGCCGGCCTGATGAGCACTGGTCACAAAGCCCCAGCTTAGAAACGACACGTCCGCGAGCACATCGAGCGAGGGCTCGGGTAGACGCCAAGGCACTGAACCCCGAAAAACCCAAAGAGGAAGACCCAGGAACGGCACCAAGCGCCTCTACATTCTCCAGATGCCATTCAGAAGACAGCTCAGGACGAAAAAGAAACGCAGGACCGAAGCCAGTGAGCCCCGCGTGGGCAAGTCCTCAGCCACAAGTGCAGCCAACAAGGAGGGAACCTGTACATGAAGCTGAACTGTGCCAACATCCCGCAGAAGAGCCGGAGCAAAAAAGCACTCATTACAGTGTGCAAAAATGCCTCTCAGATAAACCTGGACCATAGTGAACACCTCATGCCACTCAAGTGTGCTGGTATGATAGAAGGTGTCCTAAGTATCCAGCGAAAACATAGGGCAGGTGCTGGAGGTAAGCAGCAATGACCGCCCGCACCTCAGCCAGAGAGACGCGGGAACCGGAAAACCTCTGGAAGGATGGAACCGAAGGACCCGCAGGGACACGGAACCGAACCAGGGGGAGGTTACCTTGAAGTGCTTCCGGGGCTTAGCGTCCCTGCGGCCCGGTCGTCGACCAGGCCTCCTAACAGTTCGGGAGGAGCCAAATCCAAATTCAACTCGGACGTAGAGGGGAAGGGGGGAGGAAAACAAACCTCCTTGTAACAGCAAGCCCCGCTCAAAGGATCAGAAAAACCAGGCGGGGTCCAACGGGACCCAAGGCCCTCAAGTCAGCTCCTCCCCCAACTTTGGGAACCTCCACGTCAGGCCCCGGGAACAAGTCGTCCTCTAAAGCCCCGTCCTCACAAGAAAAAGCCAGGGCGGCTGGAATAGCAGGAAGAGGATGGGCCCAATGGTCAGACCCCGTAGCTATGGCTGGAGGAACAGACTCGAATGCCTCTGTAGCCACCCCGGAAGGGGTAACCCCCGAAACTGCCAGTCTCAGAAACCTCTAAACCCTGCCTTGACCCCAAAGCCCTCAGGAGCTGGAAGCAGGGAGGGGGGGAAGCGGGACCGAATGAATCACAGCAGGAGAAGAATGGGGGGGGGGACGCGGACGGAACCAAGACCAAAGTGACCAACACCCCCTTAAGTTCGGGTCCCTATAAACAAAACGGGGCAGTCTCGGGGCATCCGAGGAAGCAACTAACCTAGCATACTGCAACAACCTAAACCTATTTTGCAACGTGTGAGCCGCCTGCACCCGAATAATGTCATCATCAGATTGGGTGAACTGAGTTACAAACAAGCAACAAGGCTCGCAGGACTCCGGGTCGAATGTGTCACCAATCCAACAGGTAGTATGACAGAGGCAAAAACAATGAGCGTCGCCCTGAGACAAGGAAACAGAGCAACCCTGAAACTCGCAAAAAGCGAGAGGGGACTCAGGGGTCACATCTATTGTACCCGAGCGCCCCCGCTGAGTTTCATAGGGCCCCTAGACTGGGTCTGCTAAGGGTTATCTCCAGGCAGGGTACTGCTAATAGTACGTGGTATTATTAGTACCAAGTAAATTAGTAAATACTTATTTAAATTAGTAAATACTGCTTGGTAGCTCAAGCTACCAATCAACACTGCTAATGCTGAACCCCCAGGACGTGTCCACTCATGAGGATGAAGCAGAGGGTACCACCAAACACAAACAACCCTAGTATAAAGGGGGAGGAACACCAAGGCAGACTCCCCCACCAGGCAAAAACAAAAAGAAAAGAAAACCCTCGCAAGAGGATAGCGTATCCAGAGGGAACAAAGCCGGCCGCTGTTATAGGTAAAAACTACCAGTGCAAAAACAACCACTTACCCAAAGGCAAACTAGGGAGGAAACCCCCCGAAACACTTGGAGCTGTCAATCACCAAGCAGCTAAAGACCAACAGAGGTAGACTCAAGGCGACTTGTGGACAGGAACCCCAAGCCTCAAGGGCGGTACTTACAGGGCACTCAGGGAAGGTGACCATAAGCAAATGCAGCCCGAGTACCTGTGATTACTCCCAGCTCGCACACCACCCCGTAAGAGCAGTACTGAAACAAAGGACAGCACAATAAAAGTCCGGAGCTGGAGCCACAACAACCAAGCCATATCCCATCAGCCGAAGAACTGTGTAGTGGATCGCCAGCGCGGGGTGTCCAAGAGGGGGAAGCTGTGCAGACATGCAGTGCAGCTCGTGTAATGTCATGCTTGTTTGCTTGTTTTATATTGGGGGAGTTCTGTCCACTCTTTTGTCTATTTTTGTCATTTTTAACCAGAATAGGGGGTTTGTTTTGAGGCGGTTACCTTTCTGGGTACCTGTCCCAGTCGATGGCAGATGTAGAATGCTCCAAAATCGCACGTGCATTTCTATAGGCCATTGCTCCTTGTGCCTCTCTGAAGGGGCCAGGTTCTAGCTTGTGATTCCCAATAGGCCTAGAACTCCACCCACATCGACTGATGCCAAAGTTAGGGACATCCATATCAGCCTGGATAGCTCTGGGGAGCCGTAAGAGTTCCCCCCAGAAAAAAAAATATGTCGCCGGGGTAGAAGTTGCAGTGAAGATATTGTTACATATTTATTTCAATGTTACCTATTTGTTTTTCTTGGTTTTATGCAAAACTTCTATTCAACTGTCATTTGAGAAATTTATGTAATAAAATGCATGGAACATCGGTATGCTCAAACACATTTCTGCCATTAATATGCATACCATATATTATATTATTAGAATAATAAAAAAAAAGTGTTTTTCCTGTTATTACACTTTATATGAATTTTTATATAAAACTATCTTCATTTTCATGCACCATTACAAACTTCTAAGCAGTGCTAGTGAGTGTAATAATCTCATAACCAGTTACCAGATTTCACCCTAGCCCCAAATGTTTTGACTTTTAAAATATTTAATTTGGAGGATACTGATCCAGACCACTTTTTTTAAAATCAAATGTAACATACAAGGAGCAGCAGCTTCAAGCCACAATGTAGATCAGAAAACAGGAGATACTTTTTCCCCCAATAAACCCATAGAACTGCCTACCCACTAAAGCCATGAATGCTAAAATCTCACTGCAGCTCAAAATCCAGCCTGATAATATCATCACGACAAATGGGGTACCTTCAATGAGCCACCGGTTTCCTGTCCCTATTGAGGCCACTAGAGGCGCCCTCAGGTAAACTCAGGTAAATGCCAATTATTATCAAAAGAATACTTGTTTATAATAAAATGAACTACTTTAGCCTATGTACAATACTGTATTCTACAATTAGATAATACATTATAAGCCTACAATTTAACAACAGCACATCATGTTTTTAATTTCAGAAAATGCAAATTATTACAAATTAATAAGTATTCTTGTATATTAAAAGAGGTTCATTCTAGTATCAAACTTCAAAGATAAAAAACTTACCAACATCCATGAAGAGGTGGTGAGTCTCATCATCAGTCTGGTAGTCCCATACCCACGTACGGTCAGTTTCATCATAGTGGGAATTTGACATCATCGAGTCCCGCCGGATGTAGACATCTTCGTAAAAACCAAGACTAACTGCAAAAAAACAGCATTGAATATAATGAAACCCCTCTTTCTGTGTGAGCCAAGGTGGTTGCCCAAGATGGCTCCCAACTACTAGGTCATGTCACATTAGTAGTGGAGTTCTGGGTCTCAGAGGCCTACTAAGACCCAGCACCATAATCTGCCCCCCACCCCCCCATTCCCCTCACAGAGGTGCAGAGACAGGTGACACTCCATCACCCCACTAGGAAAGCATCCAGGAAGCCAGCAAACCAATACAGACCACTGCTGGGTTCAAAGAGACCGAAGCCTCAAAACCACCAAAGAAACTCTCCAAACAATGTGAAGTTATCAAATCTTTAGAAACAAGTACTAGCTCATTAGCACTACCCCACTATCAAGGAAAGGATGGAGGCTTAGAACTCCTACTGCCCTCTGGACTACTTCTCCAGCCTTAGAGCAGATGAGCAAACAAACCCCTGTCCAAAGACCTGGAAGGAAAGGTGGGAGGGAATCAGGAAGCCACTGGGGCTCACCAGAAAAAGGCATTCATTACATTCAATGCTGGTTTTCTGGGGGAGCCCTTTGTGGCTCCATGAAGCTCCCTACCCACAGAGAAGAAAGGGGGACTCACCAGGGAGGACGAGAAGTTACAGGCAGCCAGAACAAAGATGACACAACAGACCGTGACACACAGCCCAAGGTGACAAAGGCTTGATGAGGGCCCAGGAATATTTACCAAATACCGGGCTGCCAGAACCTTATTACGGCAAAACCCTTGCTTGCACTCCCATATCAGCCCAGGACATATTACCAAAAACCACTGCAGAACCAATGTATTTACAAATATTATGGGCATGAAGGTAGACCGCAGGCTTGCTGGACTTTACTTCACTGTGGACGACCTGAGAAACACGAGTCTCGGAACAGAGAACCAAGGAAACAGGATCCACCCACAAACCATTCACAGAGGTAAAATCAGTGGCACAAAGGTCGTAGTGGATGGCCACTACTGGGCACAAAGCATGATGCACCCCCAGCCGAACCAACCAAGCATCAACAGCCAAAGGACTCTTTGGGTAGCCCGCAGACACTTTCTTCACTGGAAAGAGAGATGGCTGCAGAAGAACACAGTGCCTATCAGATTCAAACAAGCTCCCAAACATGAGACAGACAGAGGTCAGAGCCAACAAAAACAGGGCCTTACAAAAAGAATACTGGACAGAAGGGAACATACAAACCAGGAAGAAAAATGAAAGATGAGAACATGGTCTAACGACCAAGAGGACTCGGGTGGTGCATGAGCGGGCAGAAGGTAAAACAGTGTACAAGATCCCTTCCAAAACAGTGTCAAGGAAGTATCGGCATCGAACACAAGCAGCAGCAGCTCAACCAACACCATACAATAAGAGGTGACAGAATTCAACACAAGATGACAATCAAGAAACAAACAAGAAACAAAAAACCAGCGTTGAATGTAATGAAACGCCATTTTCTGGGTGAGACCCGGAGGCTCCCCGGAGCTTTACCGGCTGATATGCTAATGTCAGACTTTGGCATCAGTCATGTGTATGGAGTTCTAGGGCCTACCGGGGACCACGAGCCAGAACCTGGCCCCCTCAGAGAGGCAAGGGGAGCAATGGCCTATAGAAACCCCCGTGTGGTTGGAAGCATTCTATGTCTGCCATCGACCGGGTCAAGCATCCAGAAAGGTAAGCATTCCAAAACAAACCCCTATTCTGGTGAAAATTGCTACCTAAGCCGAACTAGTGGATAGAACTCTTCAACAGAAAACAAGGAAACTAGTATGACGTCATACGTCACCGCGCCGCTGTCTGCGCAGCTCCCCCCTCCCCAGGAGGGGGAAGGGGGAGCCCCAGACCTCCCACGCCGGCTATCCACCCATCAGTTCTGAGGCTGGATGTCAAAACACGCGAAAAACGCCGACCGGAGGGAGGGAGGGTTGCCGGGGAGCCTCCGGGTCTCACCCAGAAAATGGCGTTTCATTACATTCAACGCTGGTTTTCTGGGGGGAGCCCCGTCGGCTCCCCGGAGCTAACTACCCACAGAGGAAGGTCAAAGGGACAAAACCGGGAGGCGGACACCACGCACCCCCCAAGGAGGCGAGACAACTGGCAGCAAATGCCAACCCAAGGCGCCACAGCCCCGAAAATCCCAGGAACAACACGAGAACCACGAGCAGCAAGGCCCCTGCACGAACACCAAAAATCCATGCCCGAAAGACTGCAAGGTCACGTCGCCCAGATGGCAGCGAGAGCAGCGAAGCCACGAACGCCACAGGCATGAGGGAAGAACACAGGCAGCTGAGCCGCAAGAACACGGCTGACCACCCGGGACACCATCACCCGCGAACCGGGAAGAACAGAACCGGATCAACGCAAAACGCGCTCCGGACCCAAACGCCGTGGCACGCAAACAACAGCGGAGGGCCGCCACTGAACACAAACGACACCCCCGGCCCGACCAACGAAGCACCAACAAACCCTGGACCCCTCCAGAATGCAGCAGCCCCACCCCGCGCCAGAAAAGATGGAGACTGCTGCCATCAAACAACCAAAACGCTAAAACCGAAGGAGCAAGAAAACTCAGCGAACCGACCCCCAGAGGCAAAGGCCCAAAGGAAAGAGCCGACGAAAAAACACACCGGAACCGAAGGGGCACTACCAACCGAGGAGAAGACAGAGCACGCTAACCAGAGACCAGGATGGTGCAAGCGGCGCACGAACAGGCCGGAGGTGAAACGACGCACAAGACAGCTGACTAACGGTGCAGAAGCAACACCAAGACCGAAAGCAAGCTGAAGCGGCTCCGCCTGCGCCGCACTGAAAAGAGGCGACAGTATGTGGCAAGACGACGGCCCCCAACCCCCACTAGAAAACCAAGCCGAGAGGAAACCAAGCCAACAAGAGTAACCACCTAAGAAGGGACAGGAAAAGGAAGGACCGCCAAAATACCCCATACTGCCGCCAAGAGAAGCACGCAGGTGGGACACCTACCACGAAGCCACCCGACCACCAACCGGAGGCAAGACCACAAGGCAGAACAGAAGCAGCCCTGACAAGGCCCCCCCGAGCCCAGGAAAAAGGCGGAGCCGCGAGAAGATCTCGGGCGCGACCACCGAAACCCAGGCGGCACAAGGAGATGGAACGTCTGCCGAACAGAAAAACTCCCCCAAGCATGCAAGCCCGCCAGGAGTTCAGAAACGACGGGTCCGAAGCGAGACATCGCAAGAACCCCCCCCAAAAAAAAAATAAAACAACAACAACCGGCAGGGCAGGAAAACCAAAGAAGGCGGAAGGGTCGCCGCCAGAACAGGACCCGAACCAAGGGGCACGAACAACTGCAATAGACCGAGACAAAGAAGCACATCACAGGACACAGGCTGACCAACGCCTAAGAATACACGCAGAACATCCCTGCTGCAGAGGAGACAGGAAGAAAGAGCAGAAGCACAAAAAACCCCAGGAGAACAACCAGGGGTGGACAATCAGGCAGGGACAAAAACCGCACGCAATCCCCAGGCACAAAACGGCAGCAAAGTGCCACTCCACAACCGGACACAGGAACAAGGACACGCCACCGTGAAACACGGTACCAATGCACACGTGCAGCAGCAGCAGCAACTTGTAAATAGCAACTCCCCTCTGCAAAGGCAGAGAACGGAGCAGGCAGACCCCAGACAGGGCCAACGGAGACACGACAAAAACCTTGCAGGCCCAGAAATCTGCACCAGGCGACCGACGGCGGAGAAACCCCGCTCGATACCTGCAGGATGAGGTACTGGGAGCTCTTTTACACCTGAAGCCCGGTCCAAGGCTAGGCCAGACCGGCCAGAGGATGGCCCACCAGGCAGCTGCTAGGAGCAGTCCACCGGCCCACATACCCCCACAACCAGGACGGGCCGGAACTGCCATACAAAAACAGGCCAGTGCGCCCTGGAAGTTCACGGACGAACCAGCAAGAAGGCTTATGCTCGCAAGTAGGTCGTGTAACAAGCACAGACCACTGATGGTAATACAGTGTCCCCCAAAAGTGCCAATAGCACCACTGCACTCCACTGGTACTATCCCGCAAGTTCTACCAGATAGGCGGGACCCAAGAGCCAGAGCTCAAATCCTGCAAGCACAGCCAGGAGCCTCACCAGGTGAGTACAGAACCAACCCTACAACCCCCATACCTCACAACATTAAAAAGGGAGGGTCCCCTGAATGACACCAGCATGGGTTGGACATGCACATGAGGGGGACAGGAAGGGGTGATAAGGGACAGTCACTGGTGTGCGAACGGTCTCAGTCGTACAAAATATACCTAAATAAAGACAGGTATAGAAACACCGCCGCATCCAGCGCCCGGCCAAAAGACGCCAGACTGCAGAAACTCACCTGGCGAATGGTGGCACGAACTTGACACGACTCAACCGTGCCCAGAAGAACTTGAGAGCACCGCCAGGTGAAGACGCCAGAGCCGGTCCCTGCCGGACCCGCAGGAGAACAGGGAGAGGCGAAGGAGGCGGTCCACACCCATGACACAGGGAAAACCGCGGTGTCCTCCCCACAACAGGGAACCAGGACACCCCCGGCGCGAAGGGGCACATACCGCAGCCAGGGAGAAGAACGAGAGGCGAAGCACTGTAGCAAAAAAAAGGGCGCAAAACCCCAGCACTGAAACACCGCCCAGACCAAAACAAACTCCACGGCGCATGCGCATAACACGCTGGCCGAACCGCACACCCTCCCTGCGGGAAGGCGCCAGCCAGGACTACAGCACGAGAAAAGGAGCCAAAAGAGGAAGCAGGAACAAGAAAACCGGCCAAAGAAGCAAAGAGCCCAAAAAGGAATCCAACCGGGCGACAAGTAGCCCAACCGGGCGACAAGTAGCCCAACCGGGCGACAAGTAGCCCAACCGGGCGACAAGTAGCCCAACCGGGCGACAAGTACGAGGAGCCGACAGACGTTCCAATAATGCGGGAAGTAGCGAAAAACCTTCCCGTACCCTCGAGAACACAGAAGCCAACACTAGTCCCGAAGGCACACGAAGGCGCAGGCGCACCCGAGATCAGAAGTCACGCAGAACCCCATCGAACGGGGAAACATGACAAAAACACCGTCCCAAAAAGGGGGGGAGAGGAAACATCCACCCACAGGACGGAACCAACCGACTCAAAGGCCAAGGAACCGAGCCCGGGGAGGGGCCGACGTCCAACAGCACGTACGGCGAGTGGGGAGGAAAGACCCCACTCCGCGTAACCACAAGCCCCGCCTAGAGGGGGATAAAAACCCCCACGGGGTCTAACGGGGCCAAGGCCCCCCCCAAGTCAGCCCCTCCCCAGCCCCGGGAACCTACACGACAGGCCCCGGGGCCGAGCCGTTCCCCCAAAGCCCCGGCCGTACCAGAAAACCGGGGCAGCCGTGAAAACTCTAAGGAAGGGAGCCCACTGGCAGACTCATACAACACGGCTGGAGGAACGGGCCCAAATGCCCCCGTCACTACCCCGGAAGGGGAATTCCCCGAGACTGCCCGAGTCTCAACACCACCAAAAACCCCGCCCCGAACCTACAGACCGTAAGGAACCGGATGCAGGCAGGAAGGGTGAACCAGGGGAAAAGACAAGGGGGCGTGGATGGAACCGAAGCAACCAACACCCCCAAGTCCCAAAACGAACTACAACGGGGCAGCCCCGGGGCTCCCGGGGAGGAAACCACGAGAACGTTGCCACCACCAAGGCTCAAGTGCAACGCCCCTGCTGCCCGCACCCGCTGTGTTAGCACAACTGGGTAACCGAGCCACAACGAGCAACCAAACTCGCAGGACTCCGGGTCGAAGGTGTCACCGACCCCACAGGCAGCAGACGGAGGCAAAACAGAGAGTCACCCAGAGACAAAAGGTGAGAGCAACCCTCAAACTCGCTGGAAGCGAGGGGGGGGCTCTGGGGTCACATCCATCGGACCCGCGCGCCCCCAGGGGTTTCCCAGGGTCCCGAGCGTTTACTTTAAGAGGACTCGCGCTCAGGTAGTCCCAGGCAGGGTACTGCTAACCGGCACCCAAAACTACCAAACAACTTTCTAAGAGCTGAACCCCCGGGACGTGTACACTCACGGGGACCTAGCAGGGGGCACCACCAGAAAATACTCAGAACACAAGGGACACAAGGGGCAAGAACGAAGGCAGACCCCCCCACCAGGTAGATAAACAAAAAGAAAAAGAAAACCCCGCAAGAGGACAGCGTACCCAAGCGGAACAGAGCCGGCCGCTATGATTGGTAAAGACAAGCTGCACAGTACCCCGCGCCCCACCAGTGCAAACACTGCCCCTTACTCTAAGGCGAACAAGGGAGACAGAACCCCCGAGCACACAAAGAGCGGCCGAAAACCAAGCAGTAAACGGCCAAGCAGGGGCAGGACCCAAGGAACTTGTGGAAGGTGGCCCCAAGCCCCAAGGGCAGTACTTACAGGGCACCTAGGGAAGGGAACCCTAGGCGCATGCAGCCCGAGTACTGAAGAATCACTCCCGGCTCACGCACCACCTAGAAAACAGACACCACACTCTAGGTACAGTGCTGAAACAACCACTGGAGCCGGAGCACATAACCATTGCCTATAGCATCAGCCGAAGAACTGATGGGTGGATAGCCGGCGTGGGAGGTCTGGGGCTCCCCCTTCCCCCTCCTGGGGAGGGGGGAGCTGCGCAGACAGCGGCGCGGTGACGTATGACGTCATACTAGTTTCCTTGTTTTCTGTTGAAGAGTTCTATCCACTAGTTCGGCTTAGGTAGCAATTTTCACCAGAATAGGGGTTTGTTTTGGAATGCTTACCTTTCTGGATGCTTGACCCGGTCGATGGCAGACATAGAATGCTTCCAACCACACGGGGGTTTCTATAGGCCATTGCTCCCCTTGCCTCTCTGAGGGGGCCAGGTTCTGGCTCGTGGTCCCCGGTAGGCCCTAGAACTCCATACACATGACTGATGCCAAAGTCTGACATTAGCATATCAGCCGGTAAAGCTCCGGGGAGCCGACGGGGCTCCCCCCAGAAAGACCATGTGAAAACAGACCAAAGAGTAGCAACGAAGGAAAAGAAAGTGGTGAAGAGTACCAAGAAAACTCACACTACTGCCACGAACAACATAGGTGGGACACCTTCAAATCTGCCACCCGCTCTCTGTAGAGATGATAATATTAGTACAGACATGAAGAGCCAAGAAGGTTGAATGACTGACCAATCCTCTGAAAGAGGTGGAGTCATGGAATAACACCCAGGTTTGGACACCAAATTTGAAGAGGTCCCATGGACCTCTTCATATTTTTCCATGGACTCCATGGACTAGGAACCAATGCCCTAGGGATAACTAGAATGATGATTAATCAAACAAATTCAGTTACAATTAATTGACCCTTCCCCATATATATAGAAGGGGTCCAGGTAGTACAGTCGGGTTCATTCTTGACTCGCAATCAAGAATTCAGAGTTTGAATCCCCAGGCAGGACAGAAATGGTTGGGTGTGTTTCCTATCGCCTAATGCCCCTGTCCACCTAGCAGTAAATAGGTACCCAGGAGTTAGTGAGCTTGTCATGAGGGTTTCATCCTGGGAAGGGTCAGTAATTTGACCCTGAGGGGGACCTCAGTACAAGCCTAACAAGTACTCTATGTATAAACTGGCTGTCTGTGCCCTCACACAATGAATTAACATTGTTTAATTCATAAACAATGAATTAATTATTACCATTAATATAGTTCATCTAACCAAGATCTGATTGTACTTCTGATAGTTGCACACTGAACAAGTATGTATTAGAAATGACTGTGGGTTCAAATGTTAAAAACTCAATACTTTATAGTACACTGTTTCTCATGTCTATGCCACTTGTGATGCATAAAGCTTTCAATAAACAAAGGCTCTACTCACCTTGCATTCCATCAGCATCTGAAGATTTAACAACTCCTTCAAGAATTTCTTCCAAAAACGGTCTGAAGACAACATATCTGAACGTGACTCGGGTGTGAGAAGCTCCGTCTCCTGGGAAGATGTAGGAGTCTCCCAGAGATGTCACATCAAACAGTGCTATACATAACCCAACATTCAGCACCACCTAGAAAAGTCCCAAAAGTTAATTAATTCTAAAATATATATACCAAACACGTAATGTGTCCCTGAATATCAAACTTTTACCCAATACAGTACAGTAGAATGCATAATACAAAACATCATACAAAAGCTTTCAATGTATTTGAAAATTCCAACAAAATTTCATATTCTATTTTATGCCTCTTATGAAATATATTCAGAGCTTGCAGTGACATAACAAGCCAAGTAGACTTCATTGAAAATACTGTTTTGCCTGCAGGGGCTCTCTCCTCAACTTTATGTTCCTCAACATCTGTTAACATTTATTCAATCACCAGGTCTTAAATTATATTGCACTTTACAGCTACTGAATGCAATTAAATATCTGCTTATTAAACATTTCTTACACAATAAAAAATTACAACTGCATTTGTTAAGTATATTTTTGCATACTAATAAACTACAACACGCGTGTGAAGGTACAATTCCATAAACAACCTTAATCAAGTTTGTATACAATAACAGACAACAGTCCACAAACAACTTCAATCTGGCATAACAATCTATTATAATAGTAACCAGTTGAATATAGGCTGTGCACTCTGTGGAAAAAAAGGAAAGATTTAAGAGATATAATGCATAAATCCCAGAAAGCACCTCACCAAGCAGATAATAATGTGCAATTTATATCTCCGGCTCTACATCCATGACAAATTCAAGCAATGCCTTGTTAGTTAAAACCTTTATAAAACCAAAGAAATTAGATGTTAATGAAAATGGATATTACTGTTTTTTAGCCTTGGAGGAAACCACACATAACACATTAGAGGGAATGTTTAGGTCCCCTCCAATACAGTTTCTGTGTGCTTTTCTCCTACCACCCCCTTCCTTTTGATTTTTTTGCTTTACAGTATTATGTTTTCAAAGGTTACAAGATATACATTGGTTGATACAAAGAGTGCTTAAAGGTTATGGATCTCTTGAAGCTCCTCCGCTTCAGGATGTGAACCGAGGATGCAGCAGACGTTTCCCCTCTGGATCACCACACTGAGGCGCTGAAACAAAAAACTGGCAGCTCTTGGGTCCCTGGTGACTTCATTGAGCTTGGAGCCCAATTCCTTGAGAAATCCCAAGGCACTTTTGCCCCAGGGGCCATGCGTCTCAGACGTTATGGGAACAAAGATGTATTGACCTTCCAATCACCTGCATTTGACTGATTTTGCTATTTCCCTGTGGTTGGCTGCCCCACCTGCTTGATCAGCACTAAAACGTACATAGGTTTCAGCTAGTGTAGATACACACGTGTAGTCCCACACCAAGTGCTTGCCCCTTTTCCAGGAGTATATGGTGATGCCATCAGGGCGAAGTGCAGGAAAATCTGGGTTTTGGTCCCCTAAGATGCGATGTTCTCTCTCTGCTGGGCACTGAGCTGAGACGAGCCTCCTCTTGATGATGTCATTGGCCTCGTTGTGTCTCGCATGCCAGCCCTTTGTGCTTCCACACAAAGGGAATCTCCATCTACACTAACTGATGCCAAAGTCTAATATACATAACAGCCTGGATAGCGCCAGGAGCCGAAGGGGCTCCCCCAAGAAAAGCAGTCAAACAATTAAATTCTTCACAAAAAATTCAAGCACGGCCACTGAATTCCACTATACGGAATAAACTTGTAAACAGAATACTCCGCCCCGCGCCCCCAGCACCACCCACTCGTTCGACCCATAAGCGTACGAACAGACGTCATCTTCCAAGTAAACCATTGATCACCAATTCAAATTTTACGATGAATTTAACCTCGTACAACAAAAATTCGTGCTCTAGGGTTCAACCATCAACCAAGGTTCCACTGTCCATAAAACTGCCAGTTCTATTGATTGAACTTGATAGAAAAGTGTTCGCTAGGATTTAACTTAATAAAATCTACCATAAAATTAAAGGTGCCCTCCCATTGTCAATAAAAAGACAAAACCATATTGGAAAATAAATTAAACCGCATTTTTTGGGACGCCGAGGGCGAGAGGGAGGAGGGCCGGCATTGTGTGAAAACAAGTCTTCCCGGGAGGTTCTGTGCCACAAGACACCACGAAGACTCGAAATTCAAAGTCAAACAACAGTGAATCTTATCTTGAGGTATATCTTGAGATGATTTCGGGGCTTTAGTGTTCCCGCGGCCCGGTCCTCGACCAGGCCTCCACCCCAGGAAGCAGCCCGTGACAGCTGACTAACACCCATGTATCTATTTTACTGCTAGGTAATAGGGGCATAGGGTGAAAGAAACTCTGTCCATTGTTTCTCGTCGGTGCCTGGGATCGAACCCAGGACCACAGGATCACAAGTCCAGCGTGCTGTCCGCTCGGCCGACCGGCTCTCTTCCAGTCTGCCACAGCAACTTTGCTAACTATGAGGAGTACCATGCTTCCATTTTAACTAATTTACTATGATAACAGATCTTTTAGTATTAGTTAATTTCATCCTGATTATAAGGCAAGTGACCACCCAACCCAGGGTAAGCCTGGTTTCGCAAATCACTCGACCTTTCCTTGCTATGTAACGCCTTTGTGGATACATTTTAGTAATCTGTAATTACTTCGCAGATGCAGTTCAAGGGAGGAAGAAATCACAAGTTGTTTGCATCTATGTGAATCAGTACAGATGCCATACTTGCTCACACATGAGGCGATATGGCTTACATTACCAGGACGTGTGTATGGCTGGATAATCCAAACACCATTTGCCAACAGCCAAGCTGTTTTTGAGTATACAGTGGGGCCTCGATTTACGATGGTAATCCGTTCCCAGAGATGTATCGTAAGTCGAAGCGATTTTTCCCATAAGAAATAAAGGGAATTGGATTAATTCGTTCCACACCCCCAAAAATATTAAAAATACATTTTATACTGAATACAATTTTTTCTCTAACTACAATACAGTACATATGTTTATCTTACCTTTATGGAGGACTCTTGATGCATATGGAAGATGGTGAGGAGGGGGAGGAAGAGAGGTGTTACTGTTTGGAAGGAAAGTCCCCTTCCATTATAACATCAGGCAGTGATGACTTCCCTTGGGTACACACTCTCCTACGTTTTGCCTGCATACCACTAGGACCTAGTTGTGATTCACTGCTTGTTTGTCTCACTAAAAACCTTTCCATAGATTTTTGTTTTTCCATATATTTTAATTTTTGTCTGTAGTGAGGCATCACAGTGTCATTAAAAAGGATAAGGCTACTACACCGTGATTTGGGCGAGTCGTTTCAGCAAAAGTTTGCAATTCTTCCCATGCTGCACACATCATCTTAATTAATGAGAAAGGGACATTCTGTACTGTCTCCTCCCCTGAAGAAATTTCCTCAGCTGTCTCTTATTGCTGCTCCTTGTGAAGTTCTTCGGTGGTCAGTTCTTCGCTGTGTTCCTCCACCAGCTCACAACACACAACACTCAGAACACTATGAATGCCACTTCTTTTTCTAAATTTCTCAAACCATCTCCTGCTCACATTAAACTCTATCGCATTTGCATCACTCGTTCCAGGGGTTTTCTTTAAAAGGTCTTCATGCAATTTCCTTGCTTTTTCACAAATGATGGCCTCTGAAACTATCACCCACTAACTCCTTGCTGTGTATCCAATTTTATACATGTAATAACTGTTCAACATCCTCAAGTGTTTGTGTTCTATGTTTCGTGATTATTGAGTGCTAAAGTGGCAAAAGGTATATCATGTCCTTTTTCTTAGCAAGTATTGTGGATATCGTTGACTGAAATTTGTTGTACTGCCTAACTAGATCAGCAACCAGCACACCATCTTCATATTTACGAATGATCTCTTGTTTTTGCTCTATGGTCATCCTTACATGTGTTTTCATATGTTGAACCTTACCACTGACTTTCTTGGGACCCATGGCGTAATATATAATAATCAGTTTTATGTTAAAAAAGCAAAAAAAAAATCTTATAAGAGTGATCGTCACTAAGTGGATGGCTCTAGTAAACTGAGGCAGGTCGGCTTACGCGACCTGCCGGGAACCATGCGCTCGGTCGACCCGAACATGTACCAACAAATATTGTTAGTCTACAACACTATCGTAAATCGAGTCGCATTTTCCGATCAAATTTATATTGTAACTCGAAGTTATCGTAAGTCGGGGCAATCGCAAGTCGAGGTCCCACTGTACTATTACCAGTAGTAGTACTGTAGTAGAATAAACACCCAGCTTATTACTATTATTCATTTATTTGTGTGATAGGCTACATACATATACCCCCAATTTTATGTGAAAAAGAAAAACAACTAGCAGGGAAATATCAGAATATACAGTCCATTTTTAAATATAAAATCCACTTCAAATTAATTATAAACAACAAAATTAATAATCTAATAATTTAATAAATAAATAAACAAACAAATAAATTCCTCTTGGGAAAATTCCCCACACCTCTCCTGAAATCAGGTTTTTTTCAACCAATTCATTTTCCACATTCTCTTTTAGATTATAACATGTTGCCAATTTTATTTCAAAAGTACATGATTGCTCTTAGCCAAGGGAGGAAGGTACCAAATGTCAAATATCTCTTCTGTCCTAGCGAATATCAAATCCAGCATTGAAGAAACATCCCCTTCCCTCATTCCCATGGCTTGCGTAATGTGCAACTCAATGCGGTAGCAACAGGGAGCCACCATTGGACTCTACAGATAAAATTATGTCTTTTCTAGTTTTGGGAGCTGTAGTGTACCAACAAATACCAATGTATAGTCTACCAACGATCACTCTTAAAAGAAATTCTAACCACACTACCCAGTTGGGTGGTGTGGTTACTGTGTCTTTTGATGGCACCCCAAGTATGAGGGTTCTTGATATAGTGATAAGGAGAGAGGACTATGTATTTTATATTTTTTGTTTCACTTATTAGTTTACACAATATGGTGTTTTTGTTGAATAAGTATTTACATAAATAATTGACAAAAACAATTCAATTTCTCAATTTCTTTCTTTATTATGCACCCCATACTCATCCCGTGGGCGGTGGTGTAAAGGATTACCGAGGCACATAATCGGTTCAGGAACTGAACCCTCTAGTTTGTTTAGCTAAGCAAATAACAAAATTTTGACACTAGTTACAAAATTATTAATGTTATATATACATGTACACATTCTCATACATACATGTACATATATATATATATATATATACATATACATATATACATACACATACATATTTAATCACCCACACAAATACTATACACACATCAATAATCTTTTGTCACAAGTGATCAATAAGCGGCTCACAATAGTCACTATACAAGGCATTTTACATCTGTGATGAGTCACACAGTTACTAGTCTTGCTCCACACTCACCCAACTGGGCGGCAGCTTTACAGTCATGTGCATGCATTACCTAAAGTAAGCAAATTTTGGATACTTCGCTAAGATTTCGGGCAGCGCATCATTATGAATAAAATACACATTTCTTGGACACTACTGATGGTGTTATCTCTAGATTCCGCGATTTTTTCACATTCCATTATATAATGACGCAAATAGTTCTGCTGACAGAGTTTACATTTAGTCAAATCTACATCAGCAGATGTTACAAATTCCCAGAGGTACTTGTAGCCGAGCCTAAGCCTAGCAGTGGTAACATCTAGAATCTCATGGGAGAAGGAACCATCTCTCCCTGTCACAACATCTGCACTTCCAACTGCGCCATAGGACTGACAAAAACAGTGAGTCTTATATACAGATCTACAATGAAATATGTACTTTTCTTACACAAACCTGTTCCTGCCACAGCTCAAAGGAAGTGTTTTGTAACCCACGCCTTTCTGCTAATGTCATCCAGGCATAAATTCAAGCACTGGCAGGAAAGGCTAAATCAACATTTGACAATAACAGTAGGACCCTAGTACCAGTACACAATGATGAGGTTATCACACACTAATTACAAAACAATAGCAGAATTTTTTCATTGGTCTAACTGCATTACATCCACATGGTTATTATTACCACATCACTCATACAGAAACCGAGCAATGACAATTGTTAAATGATTAACTTACCTTGTTTGCAAGCTTTCGATTAAGTTCTTCTACTACAGCATCATTAAGTGTTTGACCAAATAACCAGGGTGGGATGCGTACCATGTGACGGATCTCGGCTAATTGGAACATTGTCCTTTTATTCTGAAATAAAATAATTATACTGATACAGTATTGTATTATTGCAATGACTTAGAACACAAAGTATCGAAAGTCATAACAGTATGAACAAACTAAATAAATTGTCTATAACAAAAAAATATTTAAAATAGGTTTTTATAACTTACAATAGTGGAAAAATGGTACTAAGCAGGAAAAACTGCTTAGAACCAATAATTTGACTGCATTAAAACAAGTACTGTAACATTTTTTCTGCTGCTGGTAACAAACTGGGAGACTGAACAAGGTAATATGGCAAACATTAATCTAGGTCTCGATACCTCAGCCAGTAGAAGGGAGCAGATTTGAACTCAAAAGAGGCCAGGTCATCAAGGAGGTGATGTTTAGATCTTCAAAGAGGAACTGAACCAAATACAGTACAATTTTGTAAATGTAATGCACTCAATGCCTCGAATGGTATATGGAAATGCACATAAGGAGCAGATAAGGAATCAAATTCAAACAAATGAAAGATCATCTGTGTGGAGTGAGATCCACTCTGCAAAAGGCACCAGGGACTAAGCAAGGTTGAAGAGCCCTGCCATTAGTCTCAAGAGGCTCTACCTAAAACTGAGGACCTTGGGGCAAATCCATTTCATCATCAGATGCCTGCAAATTGCCTGTAAGGACAGAAGGTGTCTCCCCCTTCTGAAGGGGGGGAGGATGGGGGGCATCCCCCCTCCATAAGGAGAGATCAGTGAAACACCCCATCAAAAGGAATAGAAGTGGATTTGTGGTAAGAAGTACAAGTTCAAATACCTCCACCGCCAATGTGGAAGGATAACCCTCAAAGAACAACCAGCCCAAAACCCTGAAGCCCTCAGATGCTTCAGAGCCCAGAACAAAGGTGTGAACCCCAGGTGCACACCCAGACAAAGAAGACCCTAACCAACCCTGTGGGGTTCAGGGTTGCCTGAGCCCCACAAAAGTCAAAAGACCCATGCACTACTCAGGGTAAGGAACCCTCCAAACTAAGCCGGCATTTTCTGGGACAGTCTCTTGGATCCACCAAAGAAAATGGCTGATCTCGCCGAGACTTTTAAAATCCTTAATACGTTTTGTAGATATTAACTTAGACCACTTCTTTAACACTTAACCGGCGCAGCATTAGGGGTCAAGAAGCAAAAAATATTTGAATTATGTAAAAATTACTTAAAAATGTTGAACAAATCTCCAGCTTATTAGCTTCAGAGATGTGAAACTTTCATCAAAATATTTTCAGAAATTGATTTTAGACAAATTGTTTTAAAAAGAACATTTTGTTGATAGGAAGAACATCTTCTATTAACTGGAACTGAGGGATAATGCAGTAATAAAGAGATGCAAGCACCTGTCCGAGGCACAAAGAAGAATAGTACAGTAGTAAGAAGTGTCCACAGTGGATATGCAGCTGGTGCCTTTATGGCATTGCTGAGTAATATACAACACAAACAATGATGAATAAGTATATTGTTATGCTCTATTTTGTTATATATCATATAAATACATTTCCCAATGTTATTACCTGTTACGTTCATCAATGTCCAAAAAAACTTTGGGAGGGAGGAAACTTTTTTTTTTTACTGTTTATTATCTGATTTTGTTGTAATGTTGTAACCTTTACATCCTGGAGAGTGCATATCCGTCCCTAACTATGTGATAATAGATTAAATCGATCAACAAATAAATCAGTCACAACTCACAGAACTTAGGACCGAATCTTTTTTGGCTGATTTTTTCAGATTTCAAACTATTTTCGTTGCCTGTTTAGGTTGTTTGATGATTAGGAACCAGATTAGGGCTTTTTCACTTATATAAAGTATATCCTAAATATATCCCCTAAATCATTATCATTATAATTATTATACTGTAATTATCCCTATATTTTATTTTTTTGGGGTTATTTTTTCTTGACTTCATTTCAACACATATTGACCTACAACTTTCATATATTCGAGTATGAATGCCAAGCAATGTTTATTAAAACATACAAGTAAATTAACGAATTTGATCTACCTTTATTCATTGTCGATAACTTCAACTTCAGTTATCTCAAACTAGAATTTCAACTTTGAGTGGCTTCTAAAATTCCAGTTTCTGACAGATTCTTACCATTTTGACATATTGTGTGCTCAGCTGTCTGTTCTACAAACCCTAGAGAATGGATTTTTCATAAACCCTAAATGTTTGGAATTATATATTTTTTTATTTGCCGCATATTTCAAATGCCATATTGACAATTTTTTTTACAGTAAATTACACTGAAAACCTACTTCTAATTTGATTAAAATGAAGACCACATGCTGTTCTGAGAGCATAATAACACCAAATGAACAACAACTGGTGATAGTTTATATTTCTTAATCTGATTTGATAATCTGAAGTATTCAATATTTAATTTTAAAATTATTAAGTGCAGTGTGCAGTGCTCCTGCACTGCACACCTGTTTTTTGACAACAATTTCATGGTGCAGTTGTTAAGGACATTTTTTTTTAATAAATGATCACCTAATGATAATGTCAAAATGTTTCCAAACTCAACCATTTTCATTTCAAATCACAAAGAGTAATAAAAACATTACAAAATAATAAAATACAGCCTAATTAAAAAAAATTGCACAACCCTCAGAGCATAATCGCACAACTGCACATTTAAGTGGTTATGTGCTGCTAATATTCAAAGTTCCTAAATATTCTATGTAATTGTCATTCAACATTAACCACTGCACTGCGCAAAGCGCCTTTAGGCGCTCGGAGAGTTGTGCTTTTTGTTTTTTAATTTGGCTATATTTTAATGTTTTTTAATGTTTTCATTACTATTTGTGTTTTAAAATGGAAATAGTTGACTTTGGAAAAATTTTGACATTAAATTTACCTGAACATTTGTAAAAATAACAAAAATATGTCCTTGACAATGGCACCAAGACGTTTTTGCCGAAAATAGGTGAGCAGTGCAAGGGTTAAAAACCTCTGGTAATCATTGTCCATACAGGGAAAAAACTCTTGAAATCTTTAGTTACAATCTTGGGTATTATTAAAACAATTGGAACCATATCTGGTACCTCACAATCTATTTACTGATGCCTATGCTCAGAACCAATGACACCAATGCAGAGATCCTTCACTGCTAGAATCCACTCAATAAAACATCTAAACTATTGGGACTGACTAAACAACCCATCCTCGACTCAAGTCCATTACATCCAGTGGTCGACCCTACAGACGCATTCATAAATTATGTGGTGTTCATTCAAAACAGGAATTTTCTCAAATATAAATTAATATTATAATATATTAGCATATTGTGCATATATAGGCATAGGTTAGGTTAGGTTCTGTTGGCAATTATTTGTAGTGCGTGGGTGAAACATTTACACCGTCGTGGTTCGTACAAAATTCATCAGTGAAGCACTTGTTCTGGAAGTGTTCGAACGAAATCAGTTGAGAGTTGTGTGTAAACCGTTTTTCATTCATAAACAGGGGGTTTGGCGGGTGCATGGAATCACTTTTGTTTGGAGAACAGGCTGGACTAAAATGCCTAAATTTGTATTCTCCTGAGCGCAGGTGGGAGAGATACATAATAATTTACACGTGGAAAATAGTAGAGGGGCTGGTCCCAAACTTGCACACAGAAATAACACCACATGAAACCAGAAGGCATAGCAGGATGTGCAGAATACTCCCGTTGAGAGTAGAGGTGCCGTTATAAAAATAAATGGTGGGCTTGCTATGAGGGAACTGGTACTATTAAGGGGTAAGGGTAGTTAGAAGACAGAGTTATCAAATATGGGAGAGCTAAAAGGCCCGGCCCCCAAAATAAACTATCCACCGTAATAATAGCTTGCTACTAGACTATATCAGTCTAAGGGTTGATCAATGCACTCCCACACAGGAAGAAGGGATACTCTGTTCTAATTTAATTATTTATTAACCCCTTAACAACCCCCCATATACACTCACACCAATAACAATAATAATATTTACTTTACCACACTATCTTACGTTAAAAGCCTTGGTCCACATAGACAGGATGCAAGGTTTTACACTGAACACAAGCTAGGGTAAAGTTCTACTGGATAAGCACTGAAGCTGGATGCAGCTTAGGGTAATGAAACCACGTGGGACCCTAATACAAAACACAACACTTAGGGGGTACCCAAAACACTGGCAAATACTACCCCCAGGTCTCACCAATATTTACTACCAGAGTAGGTACACTTAAAAACGCCCCGTACTTAACTTAATGGTACAGGAACTTCAGGTAAGGGAAATAAGTAAGAGGAGAAGGGAGGAGAGTAGGGGTGCAGCCACAGAGTAGGTCTCGTCCCCACGAACGCCAGCCAGAAGAAGAACGCTCCTAGCGACCAGCTAGGCCTCCCGCATGTCGTGGTGCCGGAAGGAGCCTAATTGATCGTGCAGCTAAGCACATTAAAGATCTTCCCCTATGCAACGTATTGTTACTTTACAAATGATTAAAGTATTAGTAAACATAGTTGGTGCCTATGTTATTATTTAATAATCAACCCCCAGCTCAATCTTTAAATGCTCTTTGAGAAACAAGAATAGTCTTACGTCTGGCAGGGAAGATACAAACAATTGCCACTCGTGATGCGCTCAACTGTACTATAAGAAAGTTTAATTTAAAGTTTAAAGCACCTGTTATGACCTCTGGTTTCCACTGAGGAACCCAGGGTCATAACAGGTGCAATAGATACTCAGAGAGAACTCCAACATCAGAGGCCCAAGACTGTTCAACATGCTTCCACTACACATAAGGGGTATAACTGGCCAACCCTCACAGTGTTCAAGAGAGAACTTGGCAAGCACCTCAAAAGGATACTTCATCAACCAGGCTGTGACTCATACGTCAGGATGTGAGCAACTGCATCCAACAGTCTGGTTAACCAGTCCAGCAACGAGGAGGTTTGGTCAAGGACCGGGCTGGAGGGACGCTAAGCCCCCAACCCGTTCTCGCAAATTTAATAAGTCAATATTGACTTATTAGTTGCATGCATAGGTGACATACTAAACATAATAGTTTCCCTTGAAAAGCTTCATAGAAAACACCGACCTTACCTAACCTACTTAGTATGTTAAAATAAGCATCTTATAGCTTCGTAATTACAATTGTTACTTAACCTATTATAGGTATAGGTTAGGTAATAATTGTAATTACGAAGCAATAAGATGCTTATCTTAACATACTAAGTAGGTTAGGTAAGGTCGGTGTTTTCTATGAAGTTTTTCAAGGGAAACTATTATGTTAAGTATGTCACCTATGCACATATTTAATAAGTCAATATTGACTTATTAAATTTGCGAGAACGGGTTGAAGCCCCGAAACCATCTTAAGGTAACCACCATGCAAAATTTCAAGGCCTTATGAACCAGGAAAATATTTTACAAATACTGTAGTTTATTTGAAAATTAATTCTCAGTATCTTACATGTTCAGCATTTCTTCACTTCACTTTAGTCAAACTGAACCGACTAGAATTGTTTTTCCATCATCAGAATTAAATGTTTTACAGTATAAAAACAAGAAAGAATCTTAGATTTTTTGTAATGTGCACTAGTAAAATAACCTAAAACCATGTGTGCAGTTTGAGGGTTAAAAGTTCAAATATAATGCATACAAGGAGCAACAGCTTCAAATTTAGCAAGCTACAATGTAGGACCAAACCAGATATTTTTTCCTCCACAGGCTTATAAACCCATGGAAGTGTATCTACCAAAGCCATAAATGCCAAAATATTACTACAACATAGTTCAAAATCCAGCCTCTAGAGATGATGGCCCTCAGATACTGTATATTCAGGTAAATTATGTTTTCCTGCATCTGAACAGCACAGCATACTACTGATTGGTATGAAAAATAGTAGTGACATTAGTGTTTTCATCCAATACAGACAATCATTACCTGAATTTACCAGGTACAATTTACTTGATACAATCCCAGGAAAGCAGTTTTTCTTACATGATCCATTCACCAACAATTCACAAATTACACTGTAGCCTGATACCATGATCATGTATTCATACAGTACACTACATCAGTAAAGTGGTACAGTTTACGAATTTAATCTGTTCCCTGAGACAGTTCGTAAGCCGAAAATTGTAAACTGAAGCGAATTTCCCATAAGAAATAATGGAAACTGAATTAATCTGTTCCAGACTCCCAAAAAAATTAACTTCAAAGAAAATGTTATACCTAATTCACCCAAATCTTTAGTACTAAAGTATGTACAAGTTTTTACTTACATTTATTGATGGCATTTGTTTGCGTATGGAAGACGGTGATGAGGGGGGGAGAGAAGGAGAGGTGTTACTGTTTGGAAAGGAAGTCCCCTTCCATTATAACATCAGGCAGTGATGACTTCTCTGGGGGTATACTCTCTGGCACGTTTTGCCTGCATACCACTAGGACCGGTTTGTGGCTCACTGCTTGTTTTTCTCACTAAAAACCTGTCTTAACAACACTTGCTTTCTCCCTACATTATAACACTTGTCTCAAATGAGACATCACATTGTCATTAAAAAGGTTAACACACTGGCCTGCTACAGCTTGATTTGAGTGACACTTTTCAGCAAAACTTTGCAATTCTTCTCATAGTGCACACATTTTCTGAATAAATGAGGTAGAGACATCCTCATCTCTACATCAACAACCCTCATACCATTTCGTGTTTATGAATGATCCCTTGTTTTTCCTCAATGGTCATTCTCACACGTGTTTTCTTGGCTTGAATCTTACCACTGGCATTCTTGGGACCCATGGCGAGATATATAATAACAAATTTTATATTCAAATAGCCAAAAATCTTAAGAAAAACTAATTCTTTACAAAGAATTCAAGCGCGATAGTCACTAGGGGTGACGGATGCCTAGGGGCCTCGTAGCCTGGTGGATAGCGCGCAGGATTCGTAATTCTGTGGCGCGGGTTCGATTCCCGCACGAGGCAGAAACAAATGGGCAAAGTTTCTTTCACCCTAAGTGCCCCTGTTACCTAGCAGTAAATAGGTACCTGGGAGTTAGTCAGCTGTCACGGGCTGCTTCCTGGGGTGTGTGTGTGTGTGGTGTGGGAAAAAAAAAAAAAAAAAAGTAGTTAGTAAACAGTTGATTGACAGTTGAGAGGCGGGCCGAAAGAGCAAAGCTCAACCCCCGCAAAACACAACTAGTAAACACTAGGCGGGAGGCACTGGTAAACTGAGGCCCGATCGCTGTGCCACTATATGCTAGATCAGCCCATATGCGTATCAACAAACTCGTTTCCAGAGACAAAGTTGACCAACCCAATTAAAATTTTAATTTAATTATACAATTTAATTTAATATACAACCCAATTAAAATTTTCCGAAGAAATTGGGCTCATAACCCGAAAAGTTCGTAAATAGGGGCATTCGTAAGCTGAGGTGTCACTGTATTCTTGGTGGTAAGTGTTATTGCCGTGCACATTTCTGGAATGCACATTGATTTGGAAAGTACACAAATTTTAGGGGAATAACTTGAGGAATGTCTGAATTATGAGCCCTTTCCTAACCTAAGGATTGCAGTTAACTGTCCCCGTGGCACAGTGGTAAGACACTCGCCCGATGCTTTGTGAATGCTGTGACCTCAGTTTGTATTCTGGCCAGGAAGAATTGACCGGATGCCAATCCTTAACTGTAGCCTCTGTTCACCCAGCAATGAATGGGTACCTGGTTGTTAAATGATTTGGCGGGTCATATTCTGGGGAGAATTAGGATTAGGGACCTGCCCAAAACATTATGCATGCTAGTGGCTTTACAAGAATGCAACTACTCTTGTGTATATAAGAGATGTCAAGACATCAGATGAATAAGACATCTCTAATCTGACCCTATTGCCCGAAATAATATACGTATTAGTGACTTCAGGTATTGTATGTACTAGCTCGCTCTATAAATCCAACATTATGTTTGTAAATCAACTATGTATATGTATGTACTTTTCCTGAATAAAAAATTTAATTTAATTATATACAGTATATAACATATAAATAAAAAAGTTATGTTTAATGAGGGCCTATAGGTGCTTACCTTGAGGTGCCTCCGGGGCTTAGCGTCCCCGCGGCCCGGTCGACAACCGGACCGCGGGGACGCTAAGCCCCGGAAGCACCTCAAGGTAAGGTATGGGTGCTGCACTTTTCAGGCACATTAAAAATTAAGATTCATTTATACAGACTAATTACAAGATATACTTTTATTAACCACGCAGCATAGTGGCTAATAAGTCATTATTCATCATACCATCAAAGGTTAGGCAAGATTTATTATTCAGACGATGCTAGTACTACTCCTTAGACCAAGTTGTACATTTTCTAAAATGGCACATTTCCCAAAATAGCATAAAACATATGATGCATGTATAAGAATCAATGTTCTTACAGCAGAATACTTTGTCCATTGTCAACTTGTTTTGTTTTTGGTTCCAAATATATCTTATTAAGTTTGGTTAGGTAGTTTAAGTTAGGAATACGAGGTTAGCCAGTTCCTAAATCGTGTGGTAGCGTGAACCCCCTGGAGGAGGCTGGCAGCGACAAACAAGATATCTCTAACCCTTTATGCATTTTTTCCAAGATGTTAATGCTAAGTTATTGTATACCAAAAATATAATTGAAACTCATAATATGCAATAATCTTAGTACCTAAACACCAAATGCCTAAGCTTGACATAAAGAATAAGAGTTTTTGGGGTAAACCGTAAATCACTCGGCAATTAGGAGCCTGACGGCCCAGTGGACAACGCTCGAGGTTTGTAGTCCTAAGGGGTCCAGTTTCGATCCCCAACAGAGGTGGGAACCAAATGGGCAGTTTCTTTCACCCTGATGCTCCTGTTCAATTAGCAGTAAATAGGTATCTGGGAGTTAAGACAGCTGCTATAGGCTGCTACCTGAGGGATGTGTGTGTATAGTTTATATTATATTATATATGTATATATATGTATACATATATATGTATGTATATATATGTATATATATGTATATATATGTATATATATGTATATATATGTATATATATGTATATATATATATACTGTATATATATATAAACTACACACAAATAAATAAATGCTACCTAGCACAAATGACTGTACGTATTCCTCATAATAATCAAATTTTAATCACATTCTTGGCGTTTAACAGCAAGAATGGCTGTATAGTAGGTGGACAGCACCTACCACAGTAGCGGTCAGCGCCAGAACAACGTCAGTAACACCAGCGACGAGAGCCTCGGTCACCAGCTGGTCCCTGCTGCTGCCATGTGCTGCAACACTTGTTTATGTTTCAAACCCAGAGCTGTGGTAGCCAGATGGGAGAGTCCGCGTGTCTGCGGAGCGACGCCGCCCTGCCCGCCATCTGGTGACTGTGGGGGGAGATGCAGCCTCCCGCCCGCCACCTGGTGACTGTGGGGGGAGATGAAGCCTCCCACCCCGCCACCTATGGGGAGTGGTAAGGGTAATAAGATCTACCATTAATGTATAATGACTTACTGTAAATATATAGCTCTTGAAATAGAACATTCTCTGTAACTAGCTGACATTGTAGTTATAAGGTGTGAACGATAGATGAAATTGTTTTATGTAATAATCTAAGTTGAGGTCTGATAAAGACCTTTTGTGCCCTCTGTAATGCTTTTTGCGCTACCGCTCACAGGATGGGTATGGGGTGCACAATAAACTAGCCGCCTCCGGCAGCAACAATAAAAACAATAAATTCTTCCTACTAACCCCATCACCTACATTTTGACTAGGGGACGACTGCCCGACCCTCCTGCACTGATAACGGTGGGAGAGGATTTATTCTGCCTATCCCTACCACTTGCACTGGTGACTGTGAGGTGTAGCGAGTACAAACAATATATTCACTACAGTCTCTCATTAGCTTAATGGCGTAACTAATTAGCACTAATTACACAAGCTATAATCCTATCCCTATTTACAGGTAACATTCTTTCCATCCTGGTTGGAGGAAGCTCAGGTGTAGTCACCGAATATAAGCAAGCAAAAAGTGAATAGCGGACAGCACAATTTCCACAGTGAATTACAGTACAGACGCTTATGACTTACCACATCTCTTCAAACCTCAAGAATGTAGCACTCGGCGTGTAGTTCTAATCAACCCAAAAACGCTACAGCTTCGACACAGAGCAGACAGCAGACTACGACCGCATCGAGCTACAATGCTCTCGCTTCCCATCGAGTTCAGACACTCACGATTCCCCATCGAGCCGCCACGCTCTCCCGCATAGAGCTCCGCGACTCCGGGCTCACTCAGCTTTCTGCTCTGCTCCAAGCTCCATCTGAACGTCTACGACAATGCCACCAACCGACTACTGTAATCAAGACTACTAAATAAATATGAAACTCACTAAACACTGTGTGAGTTTTACACTGTAATAAGATAAAAAATATCTACCCAACAACGCAGTATAATCGTACTTTACAGAGGAAAGATACCACAAGGCCAACTATACTAAAGCCCTCCGTGTGCACTTAAGCCATCTTAAGTGCAATAAGTCTTATGAGCGTATTGAACTTTATGTTCACTCAACGGCAGTGATCGACTGCCAACTAGTCATAAAGAGGGAATTGATTACCATCTTCAAAAAAAAAAAAAATCTTGGAGGTAATGGGAACAATCCCATTATTTGCATTAGCGTGGGAGGAAATGATGTTGGTCGAGTTAGGAGTGAGGAACTGATTCAGAGGTATAAAACAGCCATAGAATTAGTTAGGAGCAAGGGAGGAATCCCGATCATATGTGGCATTCTTCCAAGAAAGGGAGTGGAAAATGAATGGATATCGAGGGCACTTGGTGTCAATTGCCGGCTGGAAAGATATTGCAAATCAAATGCAATATCTTTCATAGACAACTGGGAACACTTCTATGGAAGAAATGAAATGTATGCTCGTGATGGGGTGCATCTATCGAGAGCTGGGGTTGTTGCTGTTGCGAACTCGTTGGAAGAAGTGGTTAGAGGTGTTTGTTTGGGTTTAAACTGTTAGTAGATAGAGGTATGGGAATTGATTTGGAGGAAGGAGGTAATAAAAGTATGTGTTTGTGGGAGAAAGGAATTGGCAAAACGATCAGGGAAAGAGAAGGTCCGCAAAATAACAATTCACTTAGGGTATATTACACTAACAGTAGAAGTCTAAGAAATAAAATTAACGAATTAAATGCTCTTGTTTGCACAGAAAAAATAGATATTATTGCACTTACCGAAACGTGGATGAATGTAGAAAATAGAGAACTATTAGCTGAATATCAAATATACGGATTTAAACTATTTCACACAGATAGATATATTAGACGAGGAGGTGGAGTAGCCATATATGTTAGGGACAATTTGAAATGTAGTCTCAAAGAGGGAATCAAAACAGAGCCACACACAGAAACTATTTGGATAGAATTAAACGAAAAAGCTAATAATATTATAATAGGAGTAATATATAGGCCACCAAATTTAGACAGAATGGAAGCAAAGCACCTATGGGATGAAATATCTAGAGCATCTAGATCTTACAGTATTTATGTCATGGGTGACTTTAATTTTAGCGGAATAAACTGGTTGAACAAAACAGGGAATAGTGAAGCAGAAGATTTTCTAGAATTAATTGACGATTGCTTTCTTACGCAACACATTAAGGAACCAACACGGGAAAATAATATTTTAGATTTAGTGTTAACTAACAGGGAAACGCAAATTAATGACATCGAAATAGGGAGTGAGCTAGGGAGCAGTGATCACAAAGAAATCAGATTTAGCATAGAATGGAATAGACCAGTAGGAGAAAATTCTGTTAAAGTGCCAGATTTTCGAAAAGCTGATTTTAATAGCCTAAGAAATTTTTTGGGTCAAATTGATTGGAAAGTCTTGGGTATGGGGTGTGGGCCGGTCTTGGAGCGAGACATGAACCCAGCGATAGGTGACTTAAATGGGGATTTCGATGTGGATTCAATATATAACTTATTTAAGAATATTCTAAACAAAGCACAGGAACGTAGTATACCATACAAATTGAATAGATCGAATACTAATGACCCAAAGTGGATAACAAAGAATTTGAAGAACCTTATAGGTAAAAAGAGAGCTTGGTACAAAAGGATTAAAAATGGGAGGTCACTTTAGAACAGGAATTCGTACAACTGGTTAGAAATGTTAAAAAAGAGATAAGGAAAGCAAAAAGAAACTATGAAGTTCGCATAGCAGGGCAAGCAAAGACAAATCCTAAAGGGTTTTTTCAGTTATATCGTACTAAGACTAGGGAAAGGATAGGTCCATTAAAAACTGATACAGGTCAAATAACAGATAGTGATGAAGAGATGAGTAGTATTTTTAATAAATATTTTGTATCTGTATTTACTAAAGAGGAACTTAACAATATGCCTTCAGCTGAACAAGTCTATGTGGGTGGGGACGAGGACAGGTTGACGAGTTTAGCAGTTACCAGGGAGGATGTTCTTAAACAAATAGTAAAACTCAAACCAAACAAATCCCCAGGGCCGGATGAAGTGTTTGCCAGGGTGCTTAAAGAATGCAAAGAGGAGCTTTGTGACCCACTGTCAACCATATTTAATAAATCAATAGAGTCAGGCAGAGTGCCAGAGTTTTGGAAAGTTGCTAATGTGATACCAGTTTTTAAGAAAGGAGATAGATCACTTGCGTCTAACTATCGACCAATTAGCCTAACGTCTATTGTGGGAAAGTTACTCGAATCTATAATAGCAAATAAAATTCGTCTTCATCTTGAAAACATAAATTAATAATTGAGTCTCAACATGGTTTTATAAATGGCCGTTCATGTTTAACAAATTTGTTATCTTTTTATTCTAGCATTGTTGAGGCAGTTGATAGTGGTAAGGATTGCGATGTTGTATACCTTGACTTTAGCAAAGCTTTTGATACAGTGCCACATGAAAGACTGATTAAAAAATAGAGTCTCATGGTATTGGGGGTTCTATATTAAGCTGGATTAGGGCATGTCTATACCAAAGGAAACAGAGAGTTAGTATAAATGGAATCAAGTCAGAGTGGGAAAATGTTGTAAGTGGAGTGCCTCAAGGCTCTGTCCTGGGACCTCTGTTGTTTATAATATATATAAATGATTTAGATTCAGGTTTGAGTAGCAACATTTGCAAATTTGCCGATGATACGAAAATCGGTAGGGAAATTAATTCGGAGGAGGACTCACTATCACTTCAAGTTGATCTAGATAGGGTTTTGAAATGGTCAAAGGATTGGCAGATGCAGTTTAATGCTGATAAATGTAAAGTTCTGAGGTTAGGAAATGATGATAGAGTTACAAGATACGAGCTAGATGGTGTTGCGATTGCGAAGTCGGATTGCGAAAGGGATCTGGGAGTTATGATTAGTAAGAATTTAAAACAAAAGGATCAATGCATAAATGTTCGTAATAAGGCAAATCGGACACTTGGATTTATTAATCGCAGCGTTAGTAACAAGACACCTGGTGTGGTTCTCAAGCTATATCTTGCTCTAGTTAGGCCCCATTTAGATTATGCAGTTCAGTTTTGGTCGCCATATTATAGAATGGATATAAATTCACTTGAACGTGTCCAGCGTAGGATGACTAAGTTAATTCCCCAAATTAGAAATCTTTCATTTACCTTTGTTGCCTGAGGGCAACAATATTCCTGGAACAGCAACAAAATTAAAATTAAAGCAATTAAAAAATTATAAATTATTATTATAAAATCTAGTAGACCTGAGGCAATGTGAAACTCACAACAGGTACTCCATCTATCAACATTCTATTATGCAGGAAAAACGTGTCATCCTTATTGGATGACACATTTATGGGTCATCCAATAAGGTTAGCAGACTTCTAGACGTTACCACTACTAGTCTTAGGTGCAGCTAAAAGTACTTTTGGGAGTTTGCACCATCTACTGGCATAGATGTGACAAATGTATACTGTCAGAAGAACTATTCACAAACTTTGCACCATTATATAAGTGAATGTGAAAAAATCGCTGAATTCACAGATAACTCTCACAATGGTGTTCAAGAAATGCGTAAAAGTCCTTCATTCATAACAATGTACGGCCAGGAGTCTTAGCCAAGTACCCAAAGTACTGTAGATGCAGTGAAAGGTACGAAATTGAAAGCCGTACCCTAGTGTATCGCTAACAATACCCACTCTTACTTTCTTATAAATAATGGGAGTGCAGGAGTCTATATAGTAATAATCACTAAGTCTAACTACATGGGACAAGAAATACACCTTGGGGTACAATTTTACAAAAGGGTTTTTATTTAACAAAATACAAGATTTCCTCACACGGATTAGAACGAGG